TCGGCAGAGATCTAGAATCGATTCATTCGGTGAACATTCGTTTCTGTCTGATTCATCTTTGCCTTTCGATGTTCCATCTCTGACAATGACACGAACTACATTCATGTCATTACCTTCAATGAATGTAATGCCAAGCGAAAACATTTCAATGCAAGTGATTCGTCCAATTCAACAGTCTTTCCCTGAACCAAATGGATCGATACTTGTGCGAGCTTATGTAGCACAAGAACAAACAAAAAATAATTTTTTCGATTAATTTAGATTTTTGATAGCATACTAAATTGATCTGATCTTCGTTAATCATAATCCTATTTGATGAAACTTTTAAAACAAAAAACTTCTTTTAATTCATGGACACACGTGAAACAATTTGTGCGTTTGCTGGTAACCGCTATTTGTAAAACGAAAACGAACTTCATCATTAAATACAGAAAGAAAGAGCGTGGGTGTGGGTTTGAGTGCGGCTATAGGTGAGATAAAGCTTTGAGTCTGGATTGTGTGTGTGGGGATGTGGACAGGGTTGCGGGTGTAAGTCTTGTCTTCGCTAATTCCACACTCACAGTCAACATCTGCAACTATTTACCAGCGAATTTTCTTCTGTGTCTTGAAAAATTAATGAGATTAAACTGGATCTTTTGATGCAATCGTCGTTACTCTTCAAGATGGTTATATTTGTTTTGGTTAATTTTATGATTTAACATCATTCACAAAGATGGATTGTTTCGTAGGCAGGCTATGCTACGTTTTTTTGCCTGATAGATGAACCTGAACTGCGTATGATGAGATTGCATCTGTTTGATGTGATGAGGAGTTTCAATTGAGAAGAGCTTGAGGCTATGCAAATGTACATGTTAGTTCTATGGATCTAACAGATTCAAATGTTGAATTTCCAATTCAATACTATGCTGAGGCCAATGCACATTATATTATGAGAATTCGATTCCAATTCAGCTCATAAGAGACTTTGCCGGCATCATACATTTATTCAATTAAAGCAAATCAAATACTATGTTGGTTTTGTACGTATTCGAGTGATCGGAAAGTAGTAGGTAGCTGCTTTCACATTGCAACAGAAGGCATGGTTTCTTGCTTATGAATATCATCAAATGAAGACTAACCAATAGTTTCCATCAACTAACCCTACAATACTTTATTATTTCAATTCAATATTCCACTATGAATACTTATCTGACGACAATGACAAGGTCACCTACTATTCTCTATAGTCATATTGACTTATCCTTGCTTCTAATACCGTTCCTATATCGAAAATCAAATTAAAATGATTCATCGTCGCAATAGATGCATATATCGTAGTCCTATAGTCGATTTGTATTCAATGATATTCATTGTATATTTTATTCTAGCATGTCTTATTGATTCACATCATACAAGATCATCAACCTTCCTTTATATAAAATAATTTTTTTTTTCATTCTAGTACATAATTATTACATTAGTTATATTGGAGCAAATAAATCAGTTCTTTAAAACCTAGAATATGAATTGCTTTCATAAATCGGCATAATATCTGTTAATATAAAAAAAGACTAGAATTAAACGAGAGATAATATTCCTATATTAACAATGTAAGGTACTTCCCAATCATTTGAAGATCTGACATTAATGTGATTTCCTAGGATATAACCCATGTAAAACTAAAATAGGCATTTAACGAAGCGAGCCTTGAAATTAACGCCAAAAGTTGCGTTAAAAGACAAATTAACGACGTTTAACGAAGAAAACTTCAAGAATTTCCGTTAAATTTCGGAAAATCGTGAAAAAGCGTTAGATTTTTCACGCTTTTTCACGCGTGATTGTGCTTTTCACGATCACTAACTCGTCACATGTCGTTAAATATTTCATTTGTTTTCATGCGTGAAATTTTTAACGAACTTTCTTGCGTTTTTTTTCATTTTAACGAACTTTATCGTGTTATCTATCGTTAAAAAGTTGCCATCGTTT